ATGATAGTATTGGAGCACGGCCACCTATGAAGATGACCTATGATAGTATTGGAGCACGGCCACCTATGAAGATGACCTATGATAGTATTTGAGCACATTACAACAACTGTAGCAGCTATTTGACAAGGAACATTCTCCACACTTCTACTCACATCTGTTTTTGGCACAACTTGAAACACATTGTCACCATATTCACTGTGGACAGTAGTACTGCAAGTGACCTGGCAATTACTAGTTGTCTTTGACCACCATTCTACTATCCAACTGTGTGACCTCATGAAAATAAAGTTCATTCTCAGGATCCTTTTGTTTGTGAAATGGCTTTTGGTATTCTATGTTTATGTCCTATGTATACCTATATTTATATATATATAGGGTTATTTGTATATGACATCATGAAAAGATCTGGTTTGTATTCTTGGGGTGTCTACTTACTTACTGCTAGGCTGTGTACACTCTAAAGCTTAATTCTTGAAAATACTTTTACATTTAATAACTTAAAGTTTCAAATATACAACTAATTCTTGTCTCCAAAACATTTTAAACCTCATATACAGCTTACTATGATCACCACTATACTCCAACCCGATTGGTTAATGTTATCAGTTGAAACATGCACCAGTTTTTTCATTGGTTACACAATTAATAATGCTTTCCTTATTTGAAACACAATAGTCTGGTATTATTTTTGTCTTTAAACATTTCTAAGTGACTGTTAGTACTAGTGTTAATAATATGTGTTACAATTTTACAACATTATACATAGCTATTACATAAAAGAATAAACACTATTATGGTTTTAAAATTTTCCGTTCTGTGATTTCATACAATATTATACGACACAATATATTTGTTACATGCACAACAAAATCACCACAGAATACTAAAAGAAATAATAACAATACCAAAAACCAACCAAGATTCAAACTCTAATTGACTTACAGGGGGCCCTATAAGACCTGGTAAACCTGGTTCTCCATCTGTGCCATTTAGGCCTGGTTCTCCCTATGATTCATTTATAGATACAGAGCAAGAATAAAAAATGCATTAACTCGAAAACTATCCTTTATCATATCTATGACTTTAATTTATTAACTATTTTCAAACTCAAGTATTACATAGCTGTTAATATGAAATATCAAATAAAATCTTTTTCTTTTTAGTTAGGTACTACTTTTTTTTAACTAAAACAAAAAGTTCCAGTTTGCAAAAGTTACCAACATCTTGGCTTAGCTGATACACTAAATATGTGATAACATAACTTTCAAATATGTCTGCATTTAAAGGAAAAATTTTAACCATATTTTGTGTCTTTTTGTGACTATAGACTGTGTAATTATTTAGTTTTATACTGTATTAACTTTATTTCTTTGAATCAATTCACATAGTAGTCAAAATCTTGTTATATAAGAGATAAAGTAATTAATGAATGAAGTTTATTTGTGTAACACCTAACCCTAATTAAGTGCTTAAGATATCAACAATATTTAAAAAGTAATACTCTACAAAACAAACTTTGGACCTCTAAACCAAGTGTATAAAAGAAATCTTTAAAAAAATAATACTCTACAAAACAAACTTTGGACCTCCAAACCAAGTGTATAAAAGAAATCTTTAAAAAAAATAATACTCTACAAAACAAACTTTGGACCTCCAAACCAAGTGTATAAAAGAAATCTTTAAAAAAAATAATACTCTACAAAACAAACTTTGGACCTCCAAACCAAGTGTA